TGTCTTTGCGTAATCCAATTAGTTATGTGGCCTTTGTTTAACAAGTGATACAGTTGCTTTATATTTTTTGTTTTGCAAAACCGTAAAATTATGTGGAAATATATATATTTTTTTGTTTTTTTTTTTTTTATTTGATTTATTTTACAAAATGTACCATGTGGTATTATGTATACATTTTCTTTCACAGGCTCATAATTTGCTTATTTTATTTTTATTTTTTTTTTTTTTGCATTAATTTATTTTGCTTAACTTCCTGTTTGTTTGGCGCACATTCGTTTTTTGTTTTAATTTTGTTTTTTTGCTGTAGAAAAGAAGGCAAGAGAAACAGGCTACAAAAACGGCTAAAAAACAGCTTAAAAATTTGCTAAGAAATATTGCAAGAGCATCTAGCTCTTTAAGAGCTAAAAGAGCAAGAGTGAGCGTCGAGGCAAATATACATGTATACGATTTAATTGCTGTAACCGAAGCTCTCAAGGAGTCGCAATAACAAAAGACTTAGGCAACAAACTTGCGGTCAGTTAACACAAGCATGGCCCAAAACACAGACACACAAATAAACAAATTTTTGAAAAATTCGTGATGAAGTCAAAATTAGCTGCTAGTTCAACCACCCGTTGTGCATTATAACAACAACAACAGCAACAATTTGATAGCCCGCCAAGGGCAACAACAATCAAACGGCAAAAATTTCTTTAATTTTGTCAGCGTCACAAATGCGTTTGCACGTTCCCAAGTAAGACCAAATTAAGAACCATTTCATGGCTTTACAAAAAGCAATCCACACTCTCTAACTTCTATATATATATATGTATATATAACACGTACATGCTCGGTTTTTCATTTGCGATTCGCCGACAGCTTGAAATATTGAACGCGATAGAGCGAGCGCGCGACGACGACAACGAAACGCGCTGCTTTTTTGGTTTTTTGTTTTTTGTTTTCGTTGATGTGTGTCTCGCACACCGACCTGGCCAAGACTGAATTGAACAGACGTTGCGCTCTAAAGTCAAGACGCCAGCCACTGCTAGCAGCAGCAACAACACTCCGACAGCAACCGGTCTGACCAAGTTTTCGGAGTCGCTGTCGGAGTATTTGGCAAGCTGAGCCGCTCTTATTGGCGCCGCGCTCTTCTTGTTGTGTGAGTGTGTGACGTATGTGTGTTGTGTGTAGTGTGTGCCCTGTCTGTGTTACCTGGTGTTGGCAGTTTTTCAGCAACAACAAACAGCAACTGAAGCCCACACAACAATCTTGCACTTGGGCCCTGTGCCACGCTCGACTGCTGCTCTCTATATATGCCTTGGGGTAAAGGGTATTATAAGTAATAGAGACAACTCTGCTATGTAGCATATTCTTATTGGATACAAGTTAGACTATCTATCAAATATACAGAGAGACTTGCTATACTTGAACTATTCACAAAATCTATTTTATATATCATGCAATCGATATGGATCTGAATAATAGATCTTTAAATTAAGTTTGCTTATAAAAAATAATAAAACTTAAAGAAAGCTTTGATTTTATTTAAACGCTTTTTTAATTATCTAAATATTTCTTTATATTCCTTTAAGATTATAATAGAAGGGGTTTATTTTTATTAACATGTAATCCAATGTTAATAAAAATAGAATTTAGTTTATTTATAACATTACTTAATTTATTTATACAATTTTTCAACTTTAAGTTCAAAGGAAAATTCATTTAATAAAAAATGCCTTTGTATTTCAAATACAATTATGTATAGAGTTTAAATTAAAAAATCCTAGTAGCTAGTGTATTTCGACTTCGGTTCGCTGTACTCAGGTGTAATTTCTCGTTCTCACCCGAGACTTTGTATTTTTCTTTCTAATGAGCGAATACCGCATAATTAGAGCTTCCAGCGTGTTGGGCCTTCAAGTATTCCCGAATCACGTCATGCTCGGCCAACGCAACTAACTAAGCTGCACTCGGAGAGTTGCTAAGATCTCAGTTTTTACTTTTTCCGATTTCTTAGACTTGGCTTCCACTGGAGAGCTGAGCAAATAGAATGATTGTGTGGGCAGTCAACAGAATGCCTTGATGACGGCATATACGGCAAATACTTACGAGCTATATATACAAATATATACGTACGTATATGTGGCCTATACATATTTGTATAAGCTAACTACAGACTGTGTTTTGTTTAAGCCTCATAAATCTTGGACTTGCATTTACATTTTTCAGGTAGTAAAGAGCAGAACCTTTTTCATTTACCTTTTCAGCTTCAGACTGACTCGGCTCTGCTGGCCTTGGTCGGGTTCAATTGTTGACGTTTCCCATTAACTTGTACGTTTCTATTTATATTTTTAGTTATACCAATATTTATGATTATCATGCGTGCTGCTTCTTCTTTATCTTCGGCTGTTCAATGTCAAAAGTTCGTCCGAGAGACGTGCCGGAATTTTTAGATCTCTACGTGAGCCTGCGACACGACAGATTTTTTCAAGAATTGAAACACATTTTCGAGCTGTCAAATTTGTCATAATATATAATTATTATATGTTATTTTTAATTTCTCTGATGACCATAGAGCGACAGACTTTTTGATTTCTAAGAATTATAAAATTTAAAGTGGCTTGAAAAGAAATTTGGCAAAAGCATTTAAAATGGCGAACCCCAAACGAAAATATTAAATATAATGAAGTGGAAAATATAAAATGGAAAATAAGGCAATGATCTCGATGTTGCTCAAGTTATATAAAACAACTCTAATTTCGATACATAGAATATATATGTAGGGCATTTAAAATAGTTATAAATATTAATAAATATAAATATTAATATAAAATATTTAATATAAATATTATTATTGTCAGAAACAATCAAAATTTTGTAATACATAAACAGATTATTTAGCAAACATTTGTTGTATGTATATTTCTATATTTTGTCTTCAAATATCTAACATATATCTATATATTTATTTCCTTATATATATTTAATATATATTTTATTTTAATATATATATATATATGTATATATTTTTCTAAATATTTAAATATGTTATAATAATGACAACTTAGAGAAAAGTCCGTAAGTAGAGTTACGTAAAAAGTACGTAATTAACTCTTAAATAGCTATCAAATATTGTTTATACAATATATATTTTAATAAAACAAGTAATTATTATTTTAAAGAGAACAGGGCTTTATTATCATTATGAAAATTAGAATGTAAAAATATTTAAAAATAAATATAAATGAAAAAAAAAATCATATTGCTAATGACCATGTACATTAATTATCATTATTCTAAATGATCATTAACACTCATCAACATTATGATGACCATTATTAACAATTACTGTTTATTAATAGTAATTAAAAGTAACTTAAATAATAAACATTATATATTTTTAACTTCTAAACAATTATTCATACATCTTAAGAATATTTGTTCGACAATATTTATGTACATTAATAATTATTAAACATAAACATTTAAATATTTACTAAAGAAATAGACAATGTCAAAAACAGGAACAACTTAAATATACAAAAACGTTATAAAACAGAATAATCTTAAATATATTTATATAAACAAATACAATATTTCTAAAACAAATACAAATTGTTTAAACTTAAACTATTTAACAAAAAAAACCTTAAATTTATTCACCACTAGCACTGAACTGCACTGCGACTGACCCAGTCCAGGTCAGGAACTTGACTGATCGCCCACGCAGCTGCTGCGCCCTTTTATACCCAAAAGTCACTCAAAAGGCAATGCGAGCAGAGCTCCTGAGCCCTTTTTGAGTGAGAATTTACACTCACTGTAAGAATGAGTTTTTTTTTGCATTATGTTAGAAGCAGAACGAAAGAGCAGCCGACAACGGTAGCTCCACATACAACTTGTCATACTGATCAGGAATATATGTGCTACATATATATACATCATATATATGTTTTCCTTGCTGCTGTTGAAAAGATAGACAAATGTACGCAACTATATTATACTACATGATCATGCTGATCAGTAGTAGTCTATATAGTTGCATTTATATATATATAGATATACACCCACATATATATATTTATATGTTCTTTAATTTGTTGAGCATAAAAATGCATTTTTACTCATTTTGAATAGTAATTCAGACAGACAGACAAAGACCTATACAGATTACTCAACTCAACCTGAATATGAAGCTATATACATATGTTGTATAATTTCTCTGCTGTTTTCGTATAGCCATTTACAACATATAGTAATACAAAGAGTACATTAGTTGTGAACTATATAGTTGAGTATAGCTTGAGTACTTATCCAATTGCAGAATCTATAAATATATATGTCAAGCTGTCATCTCATACCTCTCTGCACGCAATATACCCCAGTTGAGTCAAATATAGTGTGTGCGTAGCTTGAAGAGTATAATAGGCTGAATCAACGACAGTCAAGTGGGTGTGATGGCTTTTCAGCTGCCTTGGCAACAAATCAATTTACAATTACATCACAAAATTCTAAAGAGCAGCAGATTTGCATAGCCAATACAAGAAACCTACGCAAAAGTGTTAAATATGTATTTTTTTGGCAACCAATGGAAACGGGAACACCCACGCGGATTGAGTCAAGTTCATAAAGCCAAGCTGACAGGTAAATAAATTCACAAGTCGTTGGCCTTAAGATAGGTGAGCGAGATAGAGAGCGAGGGGGCGCAGTGAGTGAGAGATGGGGCAATAACAATAGCAACAGTCGTAATAGTTAGGGAAAATATAACAAAAAGAATCACCAACCACCAACTACCAGCAACCAGCAATGATATGTTCACCTGTACAGGTAGCCAGCCATGTTACCTGGTTACACTCGACACAAGTGTTTATCAGTTATTTATTTTCGTAGTTGGTGTCAAAAAATCAAAGCAGCGTTGGAGTTTTGGCTCAAAATAAAAAAGGGCTAGCTCCGAACGGAGTCAGCGTGCCAATTAGTTAATTATTAGTAAAAATTTCTTGTTGAAAAAACATTTCATCAGATCGGAAGCTGTTTAAGCTTAAACGTTGGATCCAAATAATCATAAAATTGGGTAAAAAAGAAGGCAATAGCAAAATAATATTCATCGGCAATATGGCCGAGTTATTGTCGCGCGAAAAGGAACTCTTTCATATCAATCAAGAACTAAATCTGATGGCATTAAATCATCCCATTGACAACGGTAGCCAGTTCGTCGGTCAATCCCGCTACTGTACCTACCTCAAGCAGAAGGGCCCCAGCACATTGCTCAAGAAGAATTTTTGCGGAACTGCGAATGCAGATGGAGCAATCAGCCATCGGCAAACTGCGGGACGTGGCCACAGATCCAAAGGCACTAAGTCACCCAATAAAAGCGCACCAGCAACGCCAACGCCACCATCGATGCTGGTGACAACGCCCAGGAGCAAGCAAACAGCAGCTATAACGCCACAATTGACTAAGACTAAGACGTCTGAATGGCGCTCAGCCAGATCAAACGGTAAATATGGCACAGCAGTAGTAACAACAAATGCTGCCGCAGCATTAGCAACAACAACGGCAGCGGCAACAACAAACAACTCGGCTTCTGCTGCTCTTGCTGCTGGACGTATCGAAGGCACGTTCACTCGCCGTGCCACACACAAGACGGCAACGTTTGTGAAATACCGCAATCCGAACTTTAAGCCGAGTCCATCATTGGATCTGCTGCTGCACAATGGCGGTGGAATTGAGCTGCAAGAGGCGCAACAGCAGGAACAGCCGCAACAGTTGCAGCCGCAGCTGCAGCAGCAGCAGCAGGTGGAGCTGGAGCTGGTGCAGCAGTCACGAGAGAGCACAACAGTAATCAGCGGGCAATCCAAGAAACAGCTGACCCAAGACAACTTCATCAAGTGAGCAAATTACTAATGGATTAGTAATATCCGAAATAAATGATTAATAAATATTTTCTCTTAGATTTCTCAAGGCCAAAGTCGCCATTTTGGAGGAGGATCATGGTCAGCTCACACAGGATATAGCCGATCAGAAGAAGCAGCTGGAGCAAACGCTCGAAGCATTGCACAAAGCTGAAATGCAAAGAGATCAGGCCATGAGCACCAATTCCAAGCTGTCCGAACAGCTGCATCGCTTGGAATCGCAAACGGAGGAGGCGGGCCGACGTCAGAAGGAGTGCCAATCAGAATACAACAATCAGCAACACGAGCTGGAAATTTTGCGACGCGACACCAAAATACTGAAGCAAACGAATACCAATCTGGAGAGCCGTCTAATGCGCGCCAACGAGGAGGCTGAATCCACGCGTCAGAGGCTTAACCAGCAAGCGGCACAGCAGCGCGAGGATCTCGACTACAATCGAAAGGAACTGAAAGTGAGAGACAATCGGATTAAATCTCTAAAACGCCAGCGTGCAGACCTACTCAATGCCTATAAGAAGCAGCTCTTTATGATCGACAATCTGAAGCGTCAGACTAACTGTGTGGAGCAGGCGGTGGCAATTGGATTTGGCGAGAAGGAGTTTAACAAGGTGCTCGAATGGAATACGGGCACCAAAACGGTATTTTAGTGTGTGTGTGTGTGTGTGTGTGTGTTTGTATGTTTGTGTGCGACTCGGGGGTATAGGTGAATGTATGAAAGAGAGAAATTGCTACTCAATTGAATTTTATATATTTTCGGAACTGGTGCATATTCGAATTGCCTGTGCTACATCAATAAATATAAATAGTCCATATAATTCCATTGTATAATTCGAATGAAGTGCAGAGGGAGAGAGAGCAAAAGACGGGCTGCTGTTGCATATTTGAATTGCTTGTGCTTAAATTAATATAGACTATATATATAGTCTACCAATTGAATTGTATGCTAGGCAGAAAGTAAGAAACCTCATATTCCCTCAAGTCATTTTGCTTTCAATTAACGCGAGAATAACTCAATTAGGCAGGCAGGCGCAGATAGCCCGGCTGCTGCTGCTGCTCCTGGGGTTGCACGCGGCGTAGCATATAAAAGCGCTTATCCTGGCAGACACAAATCACACTTCGACTTCAACAGTCAACGACAGCAAACAGCAACAGCAGCAGCAGCAGCAGTAGCAGTAGTCACGCCACTAAAAGATTATACAATGGCCGCACTTAGATGTACACTCACTTTGCTATTGGTCACCATCATTGTGGCGGCGATTCTGTTGCACGGCAGCGAGGCAGCCTACAGGAAGCCACCATTCAATGGCAGCATCTTTGGCAAACGCAATGCTTTGGGTGAGTCTTCAAATGCCATACACCAAATACCACATACACCGTATACAAATCTCAATTACTATCTTTATACTATACTGCTTAGATTATGACAATGCGAAGGCAATGAACGCCGTTTGCGAGGTGGCCATGGAGGCGTGTCAAAGCTGGTTTCCACAGAACGATAGCAAATAGGAGCAAGCCCTGAGACTGATCTTAAAGCACACTAAAACTAAATTATACTGCAGCTGTCAAATCACAAGTAGCGACTAAACATACAAATATGAAATCAATTACACGTAAAAAGCATTGTATAAAATGTATTAGTTAAGTCGTCCATACACATAACTTACAATATCTAACACATATATAAATATAGCATACATACATACTCAATAAACTTATGATCAATGCACTTCACTTTGTTGATTTTACTGTTCAATAGCTTAACTACAACATGAGATACAATTAGAATATAATTAGTGTTTATGTCGAATACAATTTGAATATGCTGCAAGGCTAGATTATTTATATATATGTAAATATATATATATATATATATATATATATATATATATATACGATATATCACTTTATCGTCTTAGTCTATGTACAACAGAGCTGAAACAGGTGAATCAACGAATCAACGACGTCGACGTTGTCGCAACTCGTTTATATGCTTGCGCAGGTATTTCATATAGTCCACCATTGATGAGGTAAGTGCCTATTAAAAATACAATTACAATCTTAACATTTGTATAGATATGCTATCTATATAAACACTCACTGCATCCAGAACATAGCGTGGTATATAACCCTTGAGATCCAGGCAGAGCACCCATTCCAATATGCAGCTATCCTTTTTGCCAATGATTTCTCGAAATGCAAAGCCCGACACAATGTTCTCGCCTCTGTTTAATATTTATTAGAGCATTATTAAATGGATTTTCTTTTAAAAGTAGCCGCGCTCACCTTGTATACTTGGTTGTGGCAGCTATAGCCGGATATTCAACACTTATTGCCGCACTCATCCACACCTTATTGTTGGTCTTGCCCACCGCAGCATCTGGTGGCAATATTGACGGCATATTCACAGCGGATGGTGTGTTGTCTGGCTGATCTTTGGCATCCTCAAATTCATCGTCCAATGGCGGTGGCTCCACGGGAAAAGTTAGCGCAGCACCCAAACTCTTCGCACCCAGACTCTTACTCAATGTGTCGTAGGGTGTCACCGGAGTGGCAGGTGCTTTAGGTGTCGCAGTTGTTGCTGCCACCTCTGCTGACGGCAACGAACTCTGGCCAATAAATTTATTGCGATAGCTACTGGCAACGCTTCCAAATTGTGGTGTCTGTGATTCGCTGTCCGATAATGTAGCAACGCTGCCCTCACAGGATCGGTTCAGAGAATTATCATCCTCTTCCTCGCTGCTTAGCTTAGCCGCCTCATCATCATCACAGATTTTGCCATTGTAAATTAAGCGACACGAGCGCAAATTGACAAAATCGCGACTCTTGACCATGCCACCACCACCGCCAACAGAAACTTGATACGTAATATCGGTATACGAATTGATTTTCTAATAGAACACAAAAATTCGAAAATTTTAATTAATATACTAATTGCTTAAGTCTTAAGTCTGTTATTTTCGAATACCATGTTTTCAAAAACTATTTATTTAACATTTTTTAAAAAATACATTAACTATATTTTGCCAATATTAAGACTTTATTACTTACCCGCACAATTCTGGACTCTAATAAAGTTGGATTCCATTTGGGCACATCCTCGATACGATAGAAGAGCTCCTCCATTAGCACCTTGGCTGGATACTTCAGACGTGCCTGAAACACATATCTTCTAAAATTAAAAAACTATAAATTTAAATAAGCAAAAACTACGTACCGTTAATTTATAAATCTTGCCAATTTTATCGCGCTGTGTGCTGTAGATTGTATCGCCCTTTGGCGTTACCTTTTCCATCTTCCAATCTGTGGACTCTATAAGCTCAAAAGCTTTGCGCAGGCAATCTAAGCCCATTTGATTGTACTCATCATCCTATAAAGCAAGAATAGAAAAATATATATGAGGTTTTACTCCAAATATCTATTTAACAATATCTACCAACAACATTGTGGTATTCTTAAAATGCCTAAAGCATCGTAGCTGGCAGCTTCTTTTATAGATGCCAATCAATTGTTTTATTCAATATCGTTAGCTATGCGCATGCATAAATACTTAGCTGACCTGTTCATCCTCCTCGTCCGAGTGATGAGCAGTATCCAAGGGTGAATAAAAATCAGTGACACTCTGCGATGGGCGCTCACGTTCAGTCAAGATCGTTGGCTGCGTCAATGCTGAGCGCTCAGTTGTACTTGCGGCTGCAAATTGAAAGAATATTTGTAAATAAATTAACATTAAAGAAGAAAGAGTATCCAAGCTACCAGCAAAATATCGACGAGCATGCCGTTCCTGTGGTATAACACGGCAGTCTAGAAACCAAGCCTCGCCCCAGGCCAGAATAAAGGATGTTATAATGAGTATGACATCGAATACTTGTTGCTTGGAGTGCACCCACTGCAAATTGAGAATATATATATATTTATATATATATATATATATATATATTAATTAAACTTACATCATAGAAAAACACTTTTGTGATGAGAAACACACATGAGGCACTGGTAGAAAGCTGCAAGAAATTGCTAAATACTTAAAGAGCGTTCAAAATTAGATGACGAATTGGGCTTACTGCAATGATGGACCAGTGGTTTATATACAACAATGCATAAAAGAAAATTAAGACGATGAAACGGCAAAGCGCTGTGGCAACAACATCAAAGAGCGACGTATATATGGTATAGTGCATAACTTGTTTCTGAAAGGCCTGGAATATATTATCGCCGCCGATCTGAAATAAAAAATGAAAGCAATTAGCATATATGTATTTTCAATAGAAGAAACAGAGAATAAGACTTACAACTATGCAAATGAGCCAGAGTAGCGATACAAACAGTAAATCGAATGTAACAAAAAGGCAAAAGAATCTCCGCACCACCGACATGCGTCCATCCTGCGAATAACCGCCTAAGAACTCTTCCGTAAATAAATTAATGGCATGCGGCCTGGCTGCAAAAATCAAACATAAAATATTTAATATGAAATTACCAATTTAATATATTTTAGTATTTATATACAGTATATGGGGGTACATTGATAACACTAATCTAATTGGAATACTCACACATATCGTAAGGCATATGATAGGAAACACCACTGTGTCTCGCATTTGTGAGCAGTAGCTGTGCGGTGCTGCGTACATCATCGGAATCATTGTTGGACATGGTTGGGCTCCTGATTAATGGCCTTTTGCAAAGTCTTAGCTCATTTTTAGACAACAAACTGCGTATCGACTATAATACAACATAATTAACAATTGTTGTTTATAGCAATTTTTTATATTATCAGCTAATTATACCCAGTTGGCCGATTGATAAGACTGTTGCCCCACAGCTAAAATTTATATGTACATTCGGCTTTCGTTATGACTAATATATAATTTCGCTATGAAGAGTTTCCTCGACGTATTGTTCCGCTAAATCAATGTTTATGCTGATAAGCACACACACACACACATACGCACACTTACACTTACTTATGCATGCATTTATTTTCTGCACCGTTTGACACAAATTGAGCAATGAATGTAGAGCATACTGATTGTGCATATACATTTTTGATAAGCTTCAATATCAGTTTACTTTTTCTTTGTTTTTCTGACTACCTTTTTATAAGCAAAAGTTTTTTCCAACTTATACACCCGCATCGTACGCATTCAAAATAGCTGGCAGATACCTCAACGCATATTTACCTTAATTCCACTAAGCACACGCACTTACTGTTGGTAATGCAATATAATGCAAACTACCAAGAGGCAAGCACCATTTAACTCTTAATTAACAATTTGTTTAGATTTTACTCTGGCAGTGAATGAGAGTCTACAGTGAAACTTTATAAACAGCTGTTCAGTGTGGCTGTGTTGCAAATAACGCTGAATTACCAACAATTGTATTAAAAATACATAAATATGCAGTTCTATTATTTGCCAGAAGGTGGCGCACCTAAACGCGCCCAATTTAAAATTTAAGTTTTAAATACAAATAAGACTTTATTTTTGCTAATATTTTTTTGCTTAATTACTTAAATGAATTGAAATTATTTTAATGTCATCGTATGGCTTATCGGTTTTGGGATTTGCCTTGGCATTGCATATATTGAGCACCACTTCCATGCCACGAAACACACGACCAAAAACTGTATGCTTATTGTCCAGCCAAGGCTTAAGAAATATTAAAAAAATATATATTAGATTAGGTAAACTTATATATATATATAAATTTATTTATATATATATATATATGATTACTTACTGTAGGCAGCACAGTTATGAAGAATTGACTGCCATTTGTATTTGGGCCTGCATTCGCCATACTAACAGTGTATGGACGATCGTGCTTTAAGCTCTGAACAAATTCATCCTTGAAATCGTGTCCCCAAATGGATTTTCCACCCGTACCCGTACCTGTGGGATCTCCAGTTTGAACCATAAAACCTTTGATCACACGATGAAAAATATGTCCATTGTAGTAGCTATATTAAGACAGAAAATTAAAAAAGGCTTCAGCTTTTTTTTAGATAAGTTAAAAAGAACTTGCCCATTTTTTGCATGTACACAAAAATTCTCCACCGTTTTTGGCACCTCCTTGAAGAACAATTTCATATGTATATCGCCTTTAGTGGTATGCAATACTACATTCTCATAGATGCGTTGTATAACTAAAAAACCATTTACAAAATTTATAATGTATAAAGAAAGATCATATATATGTATGTATAAACACCTTCGTCTAAAGAATGTTAGCGTGTAAAGGACAATACACAATTTGTTAGTATTTATTAAAATTAAAATTAATTAAATCTAAGCATTTACCTTGAGCTTCTGGCACGGCAATGATGTCTTCCTTCGAAGGCTTCTCGTTGAATATGTCACGATCGACATCTTGTAAATCAGAAGGCAGACGTCTGCTATACAAATAAAAGCGATTCTTTCTACAAACAAAAATATTTTAAATATGTTTTAGCCTCGTCTACAATTAAGTATTCCTACTTGTATGCTGTACAAAACGCCGTTGGATCATTGAGCAAATTTTGTAACGCTGGATTTTCGCTGGCCTCCTGTTCAAGTGTAATTGCTGCCTTTTGCCGCTTGATTCGACCTTGAAAGAGAGCTACTTGCAAAGGCCGTATATTGTCCGTTTTACCCAAAATTGTGACACAACGATTTGTGGCAACATTGATCACTTTAATACCCAACATTGTAGGATAGAGCAGAAAATGTCCCGTGCTATCAAAGAGTATATTCAAAGTCGTATTCTGTGCAGTTTTCTCTAAGTCACGTTCCGCAGCCATTCTGCAAGGGACAAGGGTTTAGCTTAAAATTGAATCATGAAAAAAGTGACAACGTGCCTTCGGCCAAATTCCATATTGGGCAACGCATGTGGCGTCTGTTGCATTTGTGTGTATGTGGTTAAAGCCTCATCAAAGACCCGCAAAAGTTTCCCCGTATTAAATTGAAAGACACGAACTTTTCGATCCGTAGAAATGGCAGCAAAACGTTTACCATCCGGCGAAGCTGCCAAACCAGTTACTTGCGTCTTGTTCTTGGCAAACTCGAAGAGGCCTGCAAAATGAGTGCAATTTAATAACTGTATAATATAATATTTATATAATTAGTTTATTAAATTGTTACTTGTGTCCAATTTCGAGTCAAAGCTAACCAAACGTTGAGGAAACTTGTAATCATGCCGAGAGTTCTGCCAATACTCCAATATGCCATTACGATCCACAGAGATGACCGTTTCCATTGCCAAATTGAAGCACATGGCAACAACTGGAGCTGAATGCAATTTATCCAAGGTGCGCAAAGCTTCACCTCCGCTCTGACCATCATAAATGTGGATGCAGTTGCTTTCCGAATCGGTGCTAAATAAAAAATATATGGGTTATTACTTACAAGCATTTAGGTAGTCAGCTTACATGGCCAATCCTTGCACTGCATCTCCTGGAGAGTTAATCCACTCGCTGCATAGCGGCGTATAACCCAACCTAATTATATTGATCATATCAAAATTAATTACATCGAAGACCTTTGCTGTTTGATCGACAGCCGCCGAACAAAGTAAAGTACCGCTGCTATTGGCAGTTAGCGTTTTAATCGGCACCAAGTGACTTCGAAAATGCTTAACAAAATCAATGCCCAAATCCATTTTCTTCCAAAATTTAATGTGTCCATCCAAGCTGGCGGTGATCACAAATTCAGTTTTGGTGCTCACCAAATGTGTAATCACATCTCGATGCATATAGCTGCGCTCATAGCTTTCTGCATTTGGCAAATTCTCCAAATATATATGTTCATAGGGCAATACTATTATATAAGAACATAAACTTAATTTACATAAAGTTAATGTTGAATTTTAATTTGTTTACCTTTCTTTTTTTTGGCCGGCACCGCGATGCTTTGTTCGGATGGCATCGGTCCAATCCAGGCATCATCCTCGCCTTCTTCGTCTGCTTCCTGGGTAGCCTCTCGCTCTGCTTCTGGAGCATCTTCCGTTGCGCTACGTTTTAGGTTTTCTTTTTCATTTTCCGCGCTCATTTTCTATCAATTGCGTACGTATAAACAAACCCAAACAAACAAAACGTGCAGCTCATTAGTCGGAACATCTAAATGTTATCGAACCTATTCGATATATCGAAACCAAGCGTATACAAAAATCAGCTGTCCGTCTTTAATGGGAATGTCAAATTTGCGCTGTCGCAATTCACACAAATTGAAAACATAACAAGCCACAGATTTAAACAAAACTAAAATCTGTATATATACACAAATTGTAAATAAAGTATGCAGAAGACCAGCATAGAGGTTAAGACGCATGTCGTCCCGATTGCGTCGAAGCCAACAAGGGACGTGGACGATGGTGGCGGTGGCGGCGGCGGCAGCGGCGGAAGTGTTAATCGTATCATTGTAAACGCAGCGCTCGCTGCGACTGAGACACGCATACGAATCAATAAATGGCGCGTACGCGAAGGGCAAAATGTTTCGGCGGCACAAATCCTGTTTTTATACCAACAACTCGGTGATGATGGCAAGCCCATTAAAAAGGACGATACGATGTTTTTCAAATACAAATCAAATCGTGCTGGAGTGGTCAAAAAGCGGCTTCGCAAAGAAGGCGAAATAGTGATAAAAGGGTGAGTTTTCCCCCCTTCTCCTATCAAAATCTTCTTCTTACGTGCATGAAGGCGGGCGACAGTGGGTGGAATGCACTGATTGCACCATACATCACAATGGCAATACACATGCGCGTATACATAAAATGTAAACTTGTTTATTTGCTTGATATGTTTTTAGAGATGCGCTTTTGGAGTTATCCGAATGCATACACACAACCGTTATTAAGGATATGTGCGCAGACTGCGGCGCAGACTTAAGGCAGAACGATAATGTAAGTATCTTACAAGAAATACAAATATTTACATGGAGGAATAGTAAATTTAAGTAATAATTGTTAATAAATATATATACATTTTATAGGGTCAAACATCTGAGGCCTCGGTACCTATGGTGCACACCATGCCCGATTTGAAAGTAACCCAGAAACTAGCCCAAAAGCTTGGGCATGATGACACACGACGCCTGCTCACCGATCGGAAGCTGGTGCTTCTAGTGGATCTCGATCAAACAGTCATACACACAACTAACGACTCAGTGCCGGATAATATAAAGGGCATCTATCACTTTCAATTGTACGGTCCACAATCGCCGTGGTATCACACGCGTCTTCGACCGGGCACAGCGGACTTCCTGGAGAGGATGTCACAGCTATATGAGTTGCACATTTGCACATTTGGTGCACGTAACTATGCGCATATGATAGCCCAACTGCTTGATCCCGATGGAAAATTCTTCTCCCATCGTATCTTGTCGCGTGATGAGTGCTTCAATGCTACAAGCAAAACAGATAATCTAAAGTAATGTAATTTCGCTATATTTATCTTACTTTTCTTAATCCGGTTGTCTTTTATTTCGTAGAGCACTGTTTCCCAATGGCGATTCCATGGTATGCATTATAGATGATCGTGAGGATGTTTGGAATATGGCATCCAATTTGATACAAGTTAAACCCTACCATTTCTTTCAACATACGGGCGATATAAATGCGCCGCCTGGCTTATCCAAGCACGAGCTAGATGGCGAGGGCGTCGACTTTAAGGGTACGCAGCTTTAACAGCAGTAATAAACTTAACTTAAAACTTTATCTTATTTCTAGAAATTGATAAAATTGCTGAAAAGAAAACTGAAGCGCAAAATAAGGCGACGGATAAAGAGTCGGAATTAGAAGCGGAAGATTCGAAAGACAAGGGTGACAACACAGTGTCCAGCACAAGCAAGGATGAGGAGGGCAATGAGGAGTCCTCAGTAGACATATTCGAGTTGGGAAGCGAGACAAAAGATGCGATAGAAACTAAAGACACCTGTGTAAATAAAAGCTGTGAAAAATTGAATGGCAAACCTACTACGACGGTCGAAGAACCTCTGAATGTAGATGACAACTCATCCGGCTTGCCAGAAACAGAAGCTCAGAGCAGTGGCAAACAAGGTAGCGATAGTGATGAAATTGTTGTTATTGATGAAGTGCCCATGGAGAGCTCAAAAACTGAAAAGCTGCCGCCCAAGAAAGAAGATGACGAAAGCATTGCATCATCAACAAGCGGTGATGATAAGCAAGTGTCGGAAGCTGACGATGAGGCAGCTAAAGTTAATACAGATGAGGTGGCCACAACATCGCAGATGAAAATTTCAAATGATGGCCAGAAACAAATTGAAATTGAAGATCCCGATGATTATTTACTGTATTTGGAGGTCATATTAAGGAATATACATAAGCGGTTTTATGCGATATATGATGAGACAACAGAGATACCCGATCTGAAGATCATTGTACCGAAAATTCGTTGTGAGGTGCTACGTGGTCAAAATCTAGTCTTTTCCGGGTTAGTGCCGACCCAGATGAAGCTGGAGCAATCGCGTGCTTATTTTATAGCTAAAAGCTTAGGAGCCGAGGTCCAGTCAAACATTAACAAGGACATAACGCATCTGGTGGCCGTCAATGCAGGAACTTATAAAGTGAATGCGGCCAAGAAAGAGGCGAACATCAAGGTAGTCAATGCCAATTGGTTGTGGGCCTGTGCCGAACGCTGGGAGCATGTTGATGAGCGTCTCTTTCCGCTCGATCGCAAGGTACGGAACAAAGGACGACAACCGCCGGCTCATTGCCACAGTCCCGAACACGTAGTGAATTACAGTGAGAGATCCGAGATATCGCCGTCGAGCAGCATGCAACAGGAACAAGGCGGCAATTTCCGTGAAACACTTAATCCGCTGTTGGTGTTCACCAATGCGGACATCGAGTCCATGAACAAAGACTACGAGACATTCTTCGAGTCGGACTCCTCCAGCGACGAGGGCCCTGTAAACTTTGGTAAGTAGCTAGGAACTAAATTAAAACTTAATTTTCGCTTATTATATGAGATTTGTTTTTAATAGAAAATCCGCCCATGGACAAAAAGTTGCTGAAGCGTAAGCGCGAGGATGAAAGTTCAAACCGTGCCCATGATTTCTTTACGCGCACCGAGGATGTGATGATGGGTGCGGCGAGCGGAGTTGCTGATTTCGATAAGAATTCCTCCAACGACGAGCATGAAGACGAGGAAAAGGAGGAAGAAGATGATGACGAAATGCCAAGTGCTAAATTTCGACGTGGTATGCATAACATATTCTCTAATTATAAATTATATATTAATCAGTTAATTTGCAGGCGAAGAGCTGCCATCAGATTTAGAAATGGGCTCCGATTCAAATAGCGAAAACAATCAGGAGGATGATGGTGACGATGGTGAATGGAATATGATGGGCGCTGCATTGGAGCGTGAGTTTCTGGGACTAGAAGATTAGCTATATCAATGCGAGCTGGACATGGAACAGAAAACGAAATGCAATGCACTCGAAATCAAAAGTCGAGTGCAGCAAATAGCACTTGGAAGACTTGGAAGTAGCTGGCGATAACAATGTTCAATGCACTTTTGACATTTCAAATGTACCTACTCTTCAAAAAAAAAAAAACTAAACAAAACAAAAAAAAACTAAACAAATAACGTAATTAAATTAATCTTGGCTTTGGTTTACTTAGGAACCGCCAAGCAAAGCAATAATCAGCGAATTACAATATTTAGAGAGAGAGAGAACGAAATTTTAAGGAGATTCTACATAAGAAACAGATTTGCGTACTGTATGTATTAGTAGTTAATATGTTTCTACGTTTAAATACACACACATTTAATTATAATTATTCACACACACATATATATAATCAAGTATATGTATGAAGCGCTGATTTAAATTGTAAAATCGAAATAATATCTCATTGTAAGTAATTGCAACAAAAATGTAAATGTTTTAAAAATAAATTCCGTTGAAACGGATTTAGTAAATAGAGTTTAATTTAATAACAAATCGTATGTATGCATACATGCATGTGTGTGTGTGAGTGAGTGTGTGTAATACAGCATAAACAAATATTTGATTGTACATAAGTTCATAATATCGTTTTGTTTATTCACACAAAATAAATAAATGTACATATCTCACCCACATTTATAAAACTATGTTTTATTAATGGAGCGTTGCTCTTTGAAGCGGCTAATTCGCTTTTTGGGCGTATGTGCATCTATAAATTTGCCTTTGGGCAATGGCTCGGGCGTCATCGTTGGCTCCTTCTCAACCAGATCCTGCATGACCTTCTGATAGGCACTCATGTCCCGCAGATCATCATCGATGGTTCTTTCCCTTTTTCCCTTTCGATTCTTATTCTTTTTGGATTTGTTGCTGTTTGTTGGCTCTGGAATTTGTTTGGGCTGCTCAGTTGCAGCACGCACTTCACGTTCCACAGCCGACTTGTTGCGCAATATAGATTTCGTTTCCATGTCGCCTGATGTGACTTCCGTAATGGCGGACTCTGCCAATGGCTTGTTGAACTGGAAATTAAAAACGTTTAAGTAAAGTTAATAAATTAATCCAGCTACTCACCTGCTTGCGTGGATCATCATAGGCAGCTGCACGCTCCTCCTCCTTGATGATAGGCACCTTTAGCTCCTCCTCGCCCTCATAGCCGTTGACATAAATTGGAAAGGAGTTCTTTTCCTGCTGTCTTTTATAGAGGTCATACAATTGGGCCGGGTTGCCTGGCGTTGAAATATTATCAGATTCATTTACAGCAGCTGGGAGCGCTTCGGAATGATGAAAGCTTATATGTAGGGTATTAATTCTGCCCGTAGTTGACTCTAGTATCTGATTTACCAAATCAAAATCTCGAACACTTTGATTCTCTTGCACAAACTCCAAGTTCTCTTCGACTTTTTGCATAATTTGTGAATTTGAAAGTTTTGCAGAGTCAATTTTTGGTTCCACTGATCGCACTGGCTGCACTAAAGCAGCATCTAGTTTAATAACTTCTCGTTGCTGTCGTTGTTTGTCATTGTTTAACAAATCAGCAACAGGATCTTTCTTTTTGAAAATCAGTTGTTCATCGACTTTCGCAAAGGAGATGCGTCGCTTTTTATTGTCGAGCGTGGAAACGGATTCATCCGAAAGTTCATCTGTGCTCGCTGTTTCCGTTTGCTCGAACAGCATTTCCTGCAAATCATCTTCCAGGCAGACAACAACATTCATTAAGTGTGTTAATTCATCACTGATAAAGGAGACTCTCTGTATTTTGCGCATTTTAGCTTTAATAATTTCTAATTGCGAATGTAAAAACTCTTCTCGCTCCTCATTGGGCAACAGCTGCATTTCTTGTCTTATTAATTTCACTTCTTCCAGCTGATCATCATTATCATTATCATCATCTTCCTCTTCTTCTTCTGAAGTGTTTTTGGTTCCACTCAAACGTTGCTTTGCAGGCGTTACCTGCATTTGGCCACTCATTAGATTGCGTACCATTTCATTCGTGCTTTGCATATTTTGTTCAATTTCTTCATCGACATTTTCTGCTTCATTGGCCTCTTGAGCTTCCAGCTTGGCCAGCATGTCAAATATCTCCGTATCCGTCTTAGTTGTTGCATTGTCTTTATCACAGTCAGTTTTATCAATTTCTGGATCTTTTGGAAGTAATTCCCTGAGCGTTTGTTCATTGAAATTATCTGGATCTATGCCCAGTTCCTCTAGAAGTTCACGTTCCTCTAGCTTTTGGAATACATCATTGTGCGCATCTGCAACTGTCTTCTGCTGTTCGCGTTGGGCGCGTTCCTCTAGCTTTTCCTTGCGCACGCGCTCTTTGTGTTCCTTGAGCCAATTGTTGTGCTCTGTTTCATTGTATTCCTCCACTATTTCAATTTCATCAGAGTTTGGCACAGCACCTTCCAGTACAGGTGTTTCCAAATTGTTGCTGCAAAACATATATATTAGAATATTAAACAATTAGCAAATATATACTGCTTTTACTGCCACAGATCCGCCTCCACTTGAAGTTTCTTCAGATGCTCGTTGGCCACGCTTAATCGATACTGACATATCTCCTGCGCCTTGTGGGCTGAGCAAGCGGAAAAGTAGCCTTGGTAGTGACCGACGAGCAGTTCATTTGTATGTATCAATTCACCCGGCATCAAAGCCTTTTTCCCAATTGGCACCATAACCTCGACGGAAAGATTTTTGGCGAACATACTCAAGTTCTGAATGGCAATTTCATTGTCGGCTTTGTAGGCTTGCCAACGTTCCGTTTCATATGCATTCTTATCGAGTGCCTGAAAAATATTATGTACATGGTATTGTCGAAAATATTTAAATTATCTTTGTTACTTGTCTTAGCACATCCTCCCGCCGTTCCATCGTTGTTTATGCCCGAAACTTATCGATAATTCGCTAGTTTAACTAATACCGATAGCATATAAATTTCTAGCAAATACAGTGTGACCGTACTTTTATAATACTAACTTGCGAAATTAAATATTTCAAATATTTGGCGGTATCTTTAGAGCTTTGATTACCTGACCCAATTTAGTTTCCAAGAGATAAGAGAAAACGTTGCCACTGTTCCAGAGCTTTAACTAAAACAAATATGTTTAAGATATAGTCCAATAAAATAGAATCAATAAAGAAATCAGACCAGATAAGATATGGCCAACAAATATACTAATTGACTTTTTCATATTTATTTTATTTATTTGAACGAAGTATTAATTACCAATTAGAAATAATCAATAGAAACAAATGGAATCGCAATTTGATTGTTTTGCACTTTATTCAGTTGTTTTAATTTACTTTATACAAGCTCACTCTGTTAAAAATTAAAAAAAACGCACACCGCACACTTTTCGAATAGGGCGCAGTTGGATGTGTACTACAAAAATCATGAAACGTTTTCAACGTTACATTCAACGGCATAATTTTACACATTTATATATAGTTAAGATAAGTTCACATAAGAGTTTTTCTGTATATGTGTGTACATTGGCATTGATTCAAAATTTTTTTCTTTCTAGTCTTGTATGCGCACGTGTTTCAAAATCAAAATATTAATTACATACATACAAAATATACATAGCTAAAGCTTTTCTTTTGTCTCCAATTCTTCGTTGTTATTGTTGTTGCTGCTAACGTGGCTGCTGAAACCATATGGATCTAGCTTTTATTTACGTTGTGCATTCTTAGCTCCCGCTTTTAGCAAATCATTCGAACCATTATCCATTATAGGGAAATTCTTTGTCAGTTCATGCGCTTTTTGATGACTGGCGAAATCGTTGGGCAAAACGATTTGTTTGCAATTGCTGCATACTTCCAACTCAGGCAATAATTTACTCTGGGTGGCCGTCATGCTGTTCACATATTGTTTGTGCACCAAATACAATTCCTAAAATAAACAAAAAAAACGGATCCGTATTAATAGCAGAGATTCGATTTCATTGTTGTAAAAACTGTTTAAAAACCTGCTGTTTGCCAATATCGGGCAGCATTACTAAGAGCTCCGGATAGAGGCTTTGAAACTTATCCATCATGGCGTATTGGCAATGCTCGTAGTAGGCTCGAGCTGAACAGGTGCCATCACGAAAGCTGGACGAGAGCAAGCGGAATTCATTAAAGGCCTCGGGTGTTTTCAGTACCTCACGCAGTTGGTCCACTAAGTTCTGAAAACAACGATAATTTACTACAAGCATATACATCGAATTTAGGTTCTGCTTACCTGATTACGATTTGCTGTATCGGGTGGATCAATATAGCTATTAGCACTAGGCACAATACTATAATTTTCGCCCAAAGAAGTGGTAAAAGTCAAATTGTTGGCTAGCTTGGCAACCGAGTTGACAGTTACATTTGACATAAAGCCGGGTGGTGGCTTAATGGGTTGTGCGCCAAGTCCAGGTGGTGCACGCAATGTCCCTGATAAATTGCCATTTGAATTTAGCAGCTGCTGCTGCTGCTTATCGCTGTTATTGTTATTATTATTATTATTGTTAGTTGTATTGTTGTTCTTTTCCTTTTGCTTATTGTTCACTTTTGGTTGACTCTCTTGATTGTTCTTTTTCTCTTTGGGCTTCTTTTCCTTCTTGTTGTTCTCAGGCTGTTGTTTCGACTCCTGTTTGTTAATGTTGTTTGCCTTATTGTTATTCAAACTGGTCGTGCTGCCACCTTTTGGCGTTGGTAATATGGGCGCTGGCGCTACTTTGCTCTTGCGATTATCCAAATCCTTTTGCTTCTTGTCTGACATTGGCTTGGTCCAGTTAAGAGAGCTTGTTGACCCACTACTGAGCTTAGATGTTGTTGCCACTTTGATGCTGGTTGGCGCGAGAGTTGGAAACTCGGCTGCAGTTAGTTTAGGAGCACTTTTCTTAAGCGCCTCTTGTCGTGCTTTAGCCTCTAGTTCTTCTTTTTGTACCATTTGTATCTTTTGATAGGTGCTCGGATGTGCTACGGAAACATAGTCGTCGACCAGAGTACGATGCTTTGCAGCCACATTGTTCATGGGCATGACTGAGCCGCTGGGCAACATATCTTCTTCCAGATTACGTGCCATCTTTTTGCCCTTACCCATGGGCAAGGCGGGAAAGTCCATTTCAGGTGCTGTTGACTTCTTGCCACTAACATTGGATGCAGGTCGATTTGAGACATGCAACAGCATTCCATTAGCGGGTGCATTGGCACGCACTACAGTTCCACCAGCACCAGTGGCAGTGCCTGCGTTAGAAGACTTCTTGAAGTTTGCTGCAGCAGGTTGAGCTGAAGCTCGTGCACTAGCATAGCTGGTATTATAAACATTCGATATGCTTCCCCCAGCGGCCCCTCCCAGAGCTGGAAAGTTTTCTTTTGTCCGCGCCAAGCCCGAGGTACCGCTCAAATTGCGCATCGATGGTGGCGGCGCTCTCACCAGAGAGACATTCGGTCCCGGCGTAATGCCGGCAAGCATAGGAAACTCTTCTTCGTTCCCAGCATCAATGGTTACAGGATGGTTCCGCTGTGCACTACTCGACGGCAACTCATCCAAATAGTCCAGATGCTCCTCGTTGCTATAAAAATATATACGTAATTATTGATGTTTATTTACAAGTGAAAGTGGAATAATTGGAGCATACGCACCGCGATCTCATATTTGTAATGCCTTGTTCATTGGGGCCGCGACCACGGTTACGTGGTCCTAGTGTAATCTCCAGCTGTAAGGTACGCGTCTGCTTGGCCTGTTGCTTGTTCAGAGTTTTGCCATGCACACTCGCTACGTGAGCTTTATATTCAATCTCATTACGAAAGGCGCCCGTGAACTCCTCTGTGGCGCATTTTCCTTCCTCGCAAAGAAAATGTTCCTTACGAAAATGATCAGCCAGATCAGCATAAACGCTGCATTAGACAAGGTAATGTGTGTGTATTAGAATTACGCGCAGATATTAATAGGTAACATGTTTACGTACTTGTAGAAATCGTTGCAGCCATCGGCATCGCAGAAATGACAAAAGTAATGATATCTTCGCAAATGCCTGAAAAGCTCATCTCGGTCCACGTAACGTTCGTTGCAATATTCGCACAAAGGATGGCCACGATGCGATGTATTATCCGGATCTCCTTTGGTATTGTGTGTCGTCAACTCAGACTGCGTATAGCAACGTCTCTCGAACGTAAAAATCTTCAAATTCTTCACGCACAAATCGCAGAAATACATATGATGCTCGCGTAGCACATGATTACGTAGAGCCTCAAAGGTGCGATACGGTTGCACATTACACCTATTTAATGACATTTTAAAGATAAATTTATACAGTAATTGTGACTAATAAACTTACTGCGAGCATGGGTGATCTAGAAGCTTATAGAATTTCTGCTGTATATCCGCAGTGCAGAAACCAATGCGATATTTTTTGCTATAGAAATCGGAGCGATTGCTAGCTTCAAGTTCGCGATAAGGCAGCTTTTCCAACGTAAACAGAACCTAATTAGAAAAAGTGTTATATAGTGAAGTCATTCATAGTATATAGACATTTCTATGGATGCATTACCTTGTTCAGCACATGTCGACAGATGGGACATTCGTTTTGCTGGCAAAGGACTCTCATACGCGTGGAGCATTCATAGCAAACGGGATGATCGCAGTCGCCAATCGAATAGATTTCAACATTCTTAAAGCAAACGACACACGCGTTATCATCATTTCCAGACTGATTGTTAAGAGATTCCGTTTTCGATTCGCTTGACTTGACATTAGTTGTTTGTCCAACAGCTGGCCGACGATGCGGCTTATAGGAGCCTCTCGATCTTGAATTTTGCATGGCAATAATTTGGGGGGATAATTCTACTTGTTGCCAAACGAACGAAAGAAAAAACACCTGCAGCAAGTATATTTTTTCTATCACTGTAAAGTGTGTGTATTTGAGAATATGATTTTAGTAATTTTCTTGCGTTTAAAACTTCTGCTTAAAGGACTTTAAGCATCTAACTGTCGTCTGGGGTTCCAAGAATTATTATTCCACAAATTGATGCGACGATTTACAATTTCTCTAAATTTTTGTCAGCGTGGAGTACGATACAACTAGTATTATTCGATTCGGTTGCCAACATAATCGATTCTTTTTTGTGTGGTATTTATATGGTCAGTTTATGGCGAAATACAAAGAATACTGTTGGTACAAAAAATTAAAATAAAAAATATGAAGCAGAATTAAAAATGTGTTGTTTAGATGTAATTTTTCCAAAAATATATGTGTGACATATTGTACAGAGTCTTTAGTATAGCTTTATCCAATTTGTTGTCTGCAATTGCTAGTATTTAGTTTGGTATTTATGTATGGCCAGTCTGGCAACACTACCCGAGCAGAATGTTCACCAAAATTACAAGGAGTTCGTATATTGCTTTCTCACGTGTACTTGGTAGGCGTTTGTTTCAACCGACTTGTGCAGCGTCAGCAAAACAGTTTTGCATCACTTATAGATTTATTCAAAGCCAAAGCTTACGAAAAAAATCTGAAAACATGCCTTTGTTTGAAACAGTTGCCAAAGGAGCCGTAAACTCGCCGAACTATAGCCTTTATTTCAGTAAGTATTTAAAATAAAATGCAATACAAAATCTTGTTTCTTGCGGAAGTGTAATTAAATGAAATAAACGAATAAAATATGCATCAAAACTATTGAAATAAACTAAATTATGCAACAAGTTGTCGCAACATAAACGTTGCTTTATCAGTAAACTCAAGTAACCGGCTGTGACACTGAACAAGGTGAATCAAGCAACGAACTATGGACTTGAAACTTTGTATTATTTCCTTTGATTAGAAACGGATATACGATATCTTAACTCTAGTCAAAAAATAAATATAGTTCAGACACTTAATCACTTATCAATGGTCTACGCCTGTTTCTTTTCTATTTAATTTAATCAAACGTTTGCGTGTTGCGTTATTAATTACATTTCTAGCGATTTCTCTGCTCTCTTTCCTCAATTGTTGATTTTATATCTGATCTGCTCTTTCATTCACAGAAAATAACTGCGGCAATGTCATTTCGCCAATGCACGATATTCCGTTATATGCCAACGATGACAAGACCATCTACAACATGGTCGTGGAGGTGCCACGTTGGACGAACGCCAAAATGGAGGTAGGATGTCTTAACTGTTATTTATCGATAAATCATCTATTCATAATTATCAGCAATTTTATAAGCCCCTTAATTGCGTGTTGTTTTATTTATACTGCAGATTAGCTTGAAAACGCCTTTGAATCCCATTAAGCAGGACATTAAGAAGGGTAAACTGCGTTTTGTAGCTAATTGTTTTCCACATAAGGGTTACATTTGGAACTACGGCGCTCTGCCGCAGACCTGGGAAAACCCCAACCACATTGAACCCTCCACTGGCTGCAAGGGTGACAATGATCCCATCGATGTTATCGAAATCGGATATCGTGTGGCCAAACGCGGCGAAGTGATGCAAGTTAAGGTCCTCGGCGCCATTGCCCTTATCGATGAGGGCGAAACCGATTGGAAGATCATTGCAATCGATGTGAATGATCCATTGGCTTCCAAGCTCAACGATGTATCCGATGTAGATCAATATTTTCCGGGTTTGTTGCGCGCCACCGTTGAGTGGTTTAAGGTAACTTACACACATATATATCCCTATACATCGATTTTATAGTAATGTTATAACTGTAAAATTTGTTTAGATCTACAAAATACCCGATGGCAAGCCAGAGAATGTATTTGCATTCAATGGTGATGCAAAGAACGCGGACTTTGCCACCACTATCATTGCAGAGACACACAAATTCTGGCAAACGCTGATCAATCAGTCCAATGTGGGCACAAACGATATCGCCTGGTTTGTCTATATATACAAACATCTATAAAGCACACACTAATGTTTATATATTTGCAGTCAAAACATTACCAATCGTAATTCCGAATTTGTCATTGGCAAAGATGAATCTATTAAGATTCTGAGTGAGGCTCCCGATGGTGGTGAAGTCGAGGATATACCGGATACAGGTAAGGTTTTCTATGTCCGCGCTAAGCTTTAATTCCCGCCAAAAGACAAACCTTCCCCGCACACAAATTGGATATACAATTCCAAATATACTGCATGCTTCACTAATCAAATACCACAAAAATACCAAAAATATACCTCCAAACAAAATACTGCACTGACTTGAATGAGATGTGATGTTTGTAAATATTATTGCCCTAGATAACTACTTTTGTAATTGGCTTTTGCTTTTGCTCTACTTATTGTTAAATGTTAGTTGTATATATTTAATAAACTTTATATATATCTTGTATATACGAGTTATAGAAAACTTTTCAATCTTCGATTTTCTCTCTTGTTTTACAGTCGACACTTGGCATTTTATACATCTCAAGTAAATTGCAGAATTATCAAAAAATATGATCGAAACGATGTAAAACTTAGATATTGGAAAAACTCACAAATGAATAAATATATTTATGTATATGTTGAATAAAAGCACACCCAAAAATATATCGAAATGAATGCAAAACTTTGGATACTCTCTCCACTTGAAATATACAGTTGTTTTTTATTTATATTTTACGACTAGATCCAAACAAGTTTAAATTAATCAGGGTTACATATAATGTAATATCGAAATATGCTGTATGGTATATGTGTATGTGTGAGTATGGGGTTGTGTGTGTGTGGATTTTTCATGAATTCATTTTCTTCGCGAAATTAAACATAACAAATTAAATTAAATTACTTAAATGATAGACAAAAATTTACAAAATATATAGTTAATATAATATATATATATATATATGTATGTATATATATATTTAAAAAAAAAAAACAAAGTTTATTTAAATTTATTTACATCAGACATTCAATTTACTGTTTTTTGTCCTTTGCTTTTGCAATTAAATAGAAAATTAAACATACATATACATATACATATATAAAAGTTATAAACTAAACCTAATTCGGGGGCCCTACGACGAAAAACAATTGTACAAAATAAGGGTTTATCTAAAAATCAGTAAACCTAAACCGAAAAGAATTATGTGAAGAAAAGTGTTGACACTTGTCATATTTTAATTGATTATATTTATTTATGAATTATATATTATATATATTTTTTTTTGTTTTGTTACTTAAATGTAGTTCGCGTATTCGCTGTGATAATTTTTAAACGTTTGTTGTATCTGTGATCTCTCTGTATGTGTGTATGTGTGTGTGTGTATATATAGCATAGTATATAAATATATAGCATAGTATATAGGTAGTAGTCGTAATATGCGTTCAGCTATAGCTTTACTCTTCACGTATTGCCCGTCCGTCTCGTTTCGTTTCATTCCGTTTCGTTTCGTTCCGTCCACACTTTACTTGCGTCCCAGGGTATCGCGCCATTCGTTGTATTTGTCCATCTCCTCGTGCAGCTGCAGCGCCTCAACGCAGGCATTGAAGAACGGCGATCCGAAGCAGTCTTGCCTGTATATATATATATATATATAAATATGTTAAGGATTAGTTGGCGAACTCTAAGGGTTTCCAAGGCTTTTGTGCTCGCACATTAAAGTGCAGCCAAAATGCTAAAAATTGTGTTCAAAAATTCATTTTTGTTGGCCAGTGCATAAGGTGAAAAACTATGCAAAAATGCAAAAACTTGCAACCTGCACATTTACAAAAACGGGGCACAAAAAAGCAAAATTGTAAACAAAAACAATATATATATATAAATAAATAAAACTAAAAAAACGTACCACAAAATAAAAACGGTAAGCGCGCGTTTTTAGTCGCGTCGGAAACGCGCCAAACATCGAGGACAGCTGCGCTGCACTTGTTGCTCTCGCTCTCTTGGCGTTTAGCTCTTTGCTTTCTATGTGCTCTCTTTGCTACCATTTTCTTTCGTTTGTTTTATTGTTGCGCTCTCCCGTGGTCAGTGCCGCACTCTAATTTCATTTATCACAATTTTGGATGCCCTCAAATAGCCAGCGATTATTTGTTGTTCATTATTTTTAACATAATAATTAATAATTTTTTTTTGTCTGCATTTGTAATGCATTTTCGTTTTGTTCGTTTTTTTTCGTGGTTTTTACCAAAGGTTTTTTGTTTTGCTTGTGTTTTGCACAAATTGCGTTATAGACTAAAATATTTATCGTGTGTATGTGTTTTTTGCCAACAAATTTTACGCTAATTATGGTTTAAATCTTTACAAAATACCACAAAAAAATTTAATACATTTGCAAAATACTTTCGGTCTTGGTGTTGCGCTTGTGTGTGTGTGTGTGTGTGTGTGTGAGTGAGTGATTGAGTATGTGTATGTATGAGTGTGCGTGTGTGAGTGGGTGAATGTATTTTTTTGCCCTTTTGATGTAAATGTAAATGCTGCCTGGAATACGCGATGTTTTGATTTTTTTTTGCTTTTTTTTTGATTTTTTGTTTTAAATATAATAGAAAAAAATAATAATTATACATTAAATAAGTGTATATATTAAAAACAATGGATCTTTTATTTTACATACATAACGCAATAATAAACAAGCTAAGAATACTTAAAACATAAATACTTCTTCGGCAAAACGGGGTTCGCTGTCCTAAAATATACAGGGAAAGTAGCTACCCCTCCCCCTCTGTTTTGTTAATTCAATATGCCCCCTCCCTCCCCTCATACATACATACATATGTGTTGCGTGTGTTTCAGTGTTTGCTCACTTCCACAGTGTACAGGCATACAAACAAACATACATACATACACATATAGATATATGCATCTAGCCCCGCCCCCTCTGGTCCCGTGTCCCTCGCTTACAACAAACGCATAACGTTTCAATAAATTAATTAAAATAATTCGTTTTTTAAAAAACACACATATATACTAAAAAAAAACACTGTAGAGCATATACAGTAATAAATAAGTACGAATTAAATTTGGGCGTTAAATATTTAATTTGTTGTTCTGCTTTGTTGTATGTAGTTTTATTGTTGCTGCTGCTACTGATGCTGCTGCTTCAGAGTTACTTCGGATGTGATCGCTCCAGTACCAGTTCCAGTTCCATTACGAACTGGTATCATTTGGATTCTAACTTCCATTTCTCTGCGAGAGTGTGTGAGTGTGTTTGTGTGTAACTGCGAATGGGTGGATGTATGAATGTGTATGTGAGTATGTGTGAGTGTTTCGCTGGTGGTGTTTTTTTCGCTGCTGGTGGTGGTGTTGGTATTGTTGTAGTTGTAGTTGTTGTTGTTGGTGGTGGTGGTGGTTCAAAAGCCAACCACTTAGAAGAGTTATGTAGCTGGGCCAGGCGCCATGTTGAATGATATGGGCGAGCCATTAACTACTTTTATAAAATGTTGTAAATTTGTTATCTCTTCTGTGGGTGTTAAAAGGACTTTCACGCATTCGCCAAACCATTTCGAATCAAAGCAGTCTTTCCTAAAAAAAGCACACAAAAACAAATCCACAAAAATAAGATAACCAAATAAACACAAATCAAGAATATTAATAATAAAATAAGAATAAACGCATAGGAAAATTAAGTTAAAATGAAAATAAAAGGCAGACTCAAAGCATTTCGGTTTAGTATTTGAATACAACGGGCTTGTGAAAGGGATAGGGCGAGCCATTGATAACTTTTAGATATTGCTGCAGCTGTACAATCTCTTCATCATCGATCAGCAGCACCTTAAGGCATTCTCCGAAGGTCTGATGGGCGAAACAATTGGCCCTGCAGGCAAATAGATAAACAAGAAGATACAGCTAGCATACAGATAGATAGATAGTTAGGTTAAGTAAGATAGAAAAGTCAGCGAGGGCAAAAACAAAAAGAAAAGGGAAAGCAAAATAGAAATCAGCTAGATATTTGTTTTTTAGAAATATATTATTGTCTGTGTGTGTGGGGGGGGGATCGTAATGTTTCCTGAGTACTTAGAAAACGATGTCAGGGCTAGATTTCATGCTAAAATCGTATTTTCTTTCTTTTTTATTATTTTAGCGCAGCGAATTGCCTTGAACTGCTTTCAAATTGTTGTACGAGGTTCGAGGACGCTAGCCCATGGAAGTCAAAATAGAATGAAATTGAATTTGGTGTAGCCTAAGGTTATATTTATGTTTTAGCAAGTGAACATGGAATGGTATAAAATGAAAATGGAACTTGGGTAGGCCAATGATATATGTTTACGGTTCATGAGAATGGAACAGATTATATATTTACGCTTTAAGAACTTAACTAAGTTGTAGTGGAATGAAATGAAATTGGATTATGTTATAGCTGAAATGAAATTGCAATGGAACTTTCGTAACTTACGCTTTATTAAATGAAAATGGAATGAATGGGAATTGAAACTGCAGGTTTACTCAATTGCTAGACAAGTTTTATTTTGATTAGTCTGTATTATTTAGCTATTTGTAAGTCCGACTTACTTGCATAGTCGATGTATACTCGTCTCACGGAACAGTTGATAGCAATCCTCACAGATGCGATCCAGGCGAAAGAACATGGTCTTGTTGAAGATGCCCTTGCATTCCAGGTCGAAGAAATTGCTGCGCTTCGACAAATTGTGATTATGTGGCAACGCTGTGAATATGGGTATCAAAACAAGAAACAGCACCACCGAGATCTTTATGTTGCGGGAACACATCTGCAAAAAGAAATAAAAAATAAAATTCATTAGAATATATGTCGAATCCATTTTAACTTTAGTCAATTAACGTTTTCTCTAATAAAGAGAATTCATCTACAAAGACATACCAAGAAACTCAAATTAAAACCGCTTTGCTTTGGTATTTTCTGGTCGTTTTTTTCGCTCAGTGCTTTTGATTATGCTTAAGTAGCTGAGTACCGGAAATAGCTTAAAAATAGCACAATTTACTGTCTGGCCGAGAGCTATTTATAGAGCGAGTCGTTACAATTAAGTTCTGCTTTAGTTGGCCGCTGCTTTAAACCGCTTACTGGGTAAATAGATATGGGCCAAGTTGAACCTTGAAACCGCAAAAAGGCCCCACAGGCCAATCACTAACCCAGCAAGTGCGAGCGAGAGATGCACAAGGAGTGAAGAAGGAGGGAGCAGGGAAGAGGGAAAGCAACCTCAAGGCAAAGTGCGAGTACTTGTGGTACGTCGTAAATTGTAAATCGTAGACCATAGTCAATCTAAAAATAGATCCTGTCTGCAACTGCAACTGCAAACTGTGAGCTAAAAATAAAATTGCATTTCGTGTTGATCTTGCTTTATCTGGTTGCCCATCTGCATTCGGCATCTTCATAAAGGTGTCTACAGACATTTCTCTCTCTCTCCCTCTCTGTCTCTCTCGCTCTGTAGCTCTCGCTCTATAAATAAACCGCGCGCGCAATTTCAATGTTTATTGCATTATTTGCAAATCTGTCGACTTGGCTAATTTACGAGTATAACTGGGCTCAAAGGCGAGCCGCAATCCCACAACAAATTACATGGTCACACTTAAACGTTCACACACACACATAACTTAGTACGCACATACTTGAATTTGTGTGCGTGAGTCTGCTTGTGTGCACAGACAGGCCCCCAAAATAAAAATAAATTAAATGAATAATAAAATTCGTTTGTTGTTGCTGTATTTGCATATTTTTATCAATTTGCGTGGTCCGCTTCAGTTTCAATTACGTTTGGCGTCGACATACATTCCAAACTATTGAATAATTTGATTAAAATTGTAAATTTTTCCATTGCGCTGCGGCTTGGCTTCTGCATGTGCCAATTGCAACAACAACAATGCAGAAAAATGGCGTGTGTGAAAATTTCGCGTGCTTTGCCTGCTAGCCTGTATGTGTGTGAGTGTGTATGTGTGTGTGTGTTTGTGCCTGTGAAAAATGAATGAAAATTCAAAGCAGACACAGCGTCGCTATTCCGAACAACAACAATAATAAAGACATGTGAGCAATTTGTTGAAATATTTCTTTCGAATTTTCGTCTTTTCGTCTTTTTGGTTCTCTATGAGCGCTTCGCTTAGCACCTCCCGCGTCGTTAGCGTCAATCGCTGCTTCGTGCTATATACTCAATAAGATGTTTGCCTGTATGGGTGTGTAAGTGTGTGTTTGTTTATTTAAATTGATTTTTTATTGGCTTGTTGATGCCTTCAATTAAGTTGAGCGCATTTTTGTTGTAGCTTTTGATTTATGGCCAATGGCTTGTTGTAAAGTAGGAAAAAGTTCATCAATCAGTTTTTGCCAAATGTTGTTGCCATTTGCCATTAAAATGAGCTCAGTGCGCAACTCAACAGTTGGCCAAAAAATTATAGTCCATTCTAGTATATACCCATATAGTATTTATTTGTTGGCTTTATTTAGATACGTATATACTGTAATTAGCTAACAGCTGCCGTGCGACACGTGAGTGCCATAAAAATACTAAATTTAATATAAATAACTAATTGACGTAACACAGCCAGCATTACGCAGAGTGCAAGCTTTAAATGCTAGCGCCACTGGAACAGCTGAATGCACAAGATATGGTATATTTAGTTTTCTTTTTATTTTTATGACGCGTATAGTTTACATTGCCGAGGAGAGTTAACAGGAGCAGCTGTTACGCTGTTACTGTCTCGCATTACCCACAACGACGACCTCTGCGCAGTGTCAGACCGCTAATTGGATTCGAATTGCACGATTTATGGCCATCGAGCAGGCGAAGAGTTTCGAGAACGAGTTCAAATTCGAGTTCGAGTTCGAGTGTCGCTGCATTTATTTTTAAACTCGCACACACACACATGCTTATGCCGGCCGCATAAATTGCATAATCGATATAAAGTAAGAGAGCAACAGCTGTAGCTGTTAACAGTTAGCAGCTGCTGGCGTCATCTCTCGCCTGGAAACGATTTTGAAAAAATGTGGAACGATTGAGCGATGGATGGATCCATTCGATTTATCGTCAACGCCATCAAAACCAAAAGCAAAAGCATGTGCTGGCAATTTGTTTGCATTGTGCTTTGATTAGCTGCCAATTGATTTTATTTGTCGGTCTGCCGCTTTGTATCAATTTAAATAACTGTCAGTCTGTCATACATACAAGTAGACGCATTATCAAGCTAAATAAAAAGCTATACGACATACACACTAATACACACACACACATCTATAACTGAATCATTGGCGCGAGTCGCGCATGCCACGCAATTTGCCATGTTTCAGCTCAAGCCCGTCGTTTTGCCTGATTGTAAACTATTCAACTTTGATTTTGATTGCTTTTTGCGTATGTATATGTATGTGTCAGTCTGTATGTGTGTGTGTGTTTGTGCCTGCTGCCAGGCGACATTGAATGAAGTCATGAGCCAAAAATAATGACAAACAATTATAATGAAATGTTTTTTTTTTTTATTCTTTTGTGCGCAATAGTTTTAAAGAATTTCACACACACGACATGAATTATATTTATATGTATTTGAAGAGCGTTAAATAGATATTTAAAGTAATGTCTAGCTTATCAGCAGGCGCCTAAATTTAGGCTGGAATGCGCACTGTTATCTTAGCAGTCAACTGTAATTATATGGCTTTAACAGTGAGTGACAATGAAATGACTGCAAAGCTGCGATCGAAAACCAAGTGCGTGCATTTAACATGCAGCTTGCACATAGAATTATATACTATATACATATATACACATATGCATGCACACGTATGTGTATGTGTGTCGTATCTGCTACAACTTAACGCTTGGCTACGCAAGCATGGCAAAAAATGCGCATTTATCAAACACACTTTTTGGCATTCACAGCGATGATGCCCAACTTAACATTCTCTGTTAACTTCAAATTCCAATACTCTTTAAGGCTAAATACGTCCTAACCCTATTAACATTTGCTTCTACTGCCGCACTGTTAAGATCTGCTTAGTAATATACTCAGACTGTTAAGTATGCCTTTGGCAAATCTAAATAATAAACATGTAAATGTTTGCGATGCTACTGCAAACTAACAACTGTTAAAGCAACCCACTTGAGTTGTTAAAACTGCTCTCGAGACTGCATGGTACCATTGCCACTCACTACAAGCAACAACAACAAAAGCAGCAGCAACATAAACACAACAACTTGGCGAGACTGCTTGGTACCAAATAAACTGGCACAGCGATTGTTGGCCGTTGGCTCCTGTTGTTGTTGCTGCTGCTACTGTTGGCCTGTTGAGCCTGCGTTAAACGGTGCTGTTAATTTACTAGACATGCGGCATTTGCATTTCGTTGCAACTGGATACCGCTTATAGCCAGCGCATTTTAATATGCAATTTAATATGCATTAAATTCTGTTTGGCATCAAATTAATAGCGCAGCAACAGCTCAGCAGAAGCAAAATGGCGGCAGGTGCTGTAAATGTTCCACGCTCGCTTAACAGCACTGACCATAGGATGAGCATGCATATGCATGTTACTCTATATACACGTATGTATGTGTTTCTGTCTGTGTGTATGTGTGTGTATTAATTTCGCTCACTTTGGCTATCGCCTGCTGCTTTTGATGCGCCTTTCTATGGCTTCCAGCTGCGCTGTCGACGTCGCCGCTGGCGTCGCTGTGCCGTTCAAGCTGCATGATGCGCATCAATTGGCTGCTGAACTGTTGTTGTTGTTATTGTTGCTGCTTGTTGATCTGTTTGGATTGATCGTGTGGCTCGTGTGCGCGTATTGTATCCAATTAGTATTTATTAAGATTAATAGTTGCACGTTTCGTAATAGATCGTAAAAAAATGTATGTGTGTTATAACTGGTAATTCAAACATCAAAACACACATATGCATAACAGACTGTGTGCGTGTGACTGTGCCTGTGTGTGTGTGTGCTTAAGTATTTTATCAAGTTGTTTGCTTTTTCACTTCTTTGCTTTCGTCAACACGAAATGTTGTTTGAACAGTGTTGAAAATCATAAGCAAATAGCAACGAAATTTCTACAACAATAGCAATCTGTGAGTAGTAGTGTTAGCTAATGCCAAACAAAACACCCGCGCGCGCAATCAACTTTTGTTGGCAACAAAAATAACACTGAAGATCGCAAAACTGTTGAGGTTGCCAGACAACAAATGCTGCTACCGCCGCTGCTGCTGCTGCTGTTGTCTTTTTCTTATCAGCACACACACTCACACACACACACACATGCACACAAGCATTCACACATGCATTTTTGTGAGAGGCAGCGACGACAGCGAGTCTGGCGCGGAGGCAGCGCAGCCAACCGAACCGAACCGAGGCGAAGCCAACCCGCCTGCCTGCCTGCAGCTGCTTGTGTGTGCGTGAGCGCGCACGTCAACACACACACACACCCACACACACATGCACAGTATTGCACCTATTTTAGATGCAGCGTGGTACGGCTAGGCGTATACGTGATATGCATTATAAGATCACGCTTATCATTTGAGCCAACTTAAGCCAAAATCAAACTTATATTTTTATTTATTATTATTACTATCATTATTTATTGTTGACTTCTTTTTCGTAGACAGCCACGAATTGTGTCCTGTTTTCAACGTTGCCCATTAAATTGTCAATTATGTGAATTCATTAAGTAAAGACAAAAAACAATATGATATTCTTGTGGTTTTTTTTTTATAGATTTGATTTGAAAACATATGAAGAATTTCTTAGTACTAAAAACTAACAGTTTATCAACTTCACTTGTTCTATTTAATTCGATTTGTTTTTTTTTTCCTTTTCGATATAAAGCAAAAAGAAAAATATTTGAATTAATTCAAAAAACTTTGAAAAATGGCAAAAAAAAAAAAAAGTTTTGAAATTAAAAATTGATTAGAAACTCCTATTAATCCAAAAATATTTAATATAAATATTTCATTAAAATTTATAAAATAGACATTTAAAAACAAAAAGTATAATTCTTATATATTTTATTTAAAAATAATTTAGATGTTTTTTAAAATATTTGTAATATAGCTTATCTACCCAGCTTTTCAATGCCTAAATGTTATAGAACAATTGAAAGTACGTTCGAAATAATAATAATTAAAAGCATTTATTGTTATTTTACAATTTTTTGAATAAATTTTCAGAATTTGAAAGAAAAAAATGTTCAAAAAAAAACATTGAGGTAAAATTTAAAATATTTGAATATCTGTATTCACTTGAGCTGAACAAATGAACAACTGTACAATAGTTAATTAATGCTGCTTGCTATATATATATATATATATATATATGTATATATACATATGTATATATTGTTGCTTTACACATTACTTATACGCCGCGTTGACTTTGAACGAGTCGAGTTTAATCGTTCTAATAGATGGTCTGGTTATTAGATTGCTTTGGTAACGAGAAAATCAAGCACTGGCCACAGTTGAGTGAGGCATCGCTTACAGCTCTGCCAGCCAGTTAGGCGACCATTCCACACACACACACACTACTGCACTCACACTTGTATTTGTTGCTATATACGACAATTGGCATTTTATTAGTTTAATTGAAAGCAAAACACAATTTAGCATGCATGGAGAATCGAAAACTGGTTTTAACTTGTTTCGTTTTTACTGTCTGTCAAATATATATAAAAACAGACAACTGTGAAACGGAATGAATACACACATGTATATATATAACTGTAAGTATGTATGTATGCGAAATACAAGTTTCGATTAGTTTGCAGCGCAGAGAAGCGTGTCACAGGTTTCACTGTACAACAAGCCAGCAAATGCACATGCTACATATATATATATGTACATACATACATATATCAAAATATATTTATATATACATATGTATAAATTAAACAAGTCCATTGAGGAAATTAAGTATTTCAAGCTGCGCCTGCTGATTGTGCCAGTTTTTTTCTTCTTTTTCATGATTACTGCTGCTGTGGCTGCGGCTGCTGTTTGCTTAAAATTGCCATAAATCACATAATTAAGTTTATTTTATTTGTTTTCATTTACAATTGAATTGAAATTCGACATTAATAAATTTTGTTAAGCATTAAGCATTAAGGCTCCCCCGCTCTATATAGGGCCATTAGGCAGAGTCAGAGAGAGCGCAGGGGCGCCCCCGAAATGCAGTTTATTTTTGGGCATACGGAATAATGCGCAAGCTGATTAAGTGCAATCGAACAGGCGACGACAGCATATGCAAAATCAATGCACAATTAATGTAAATTTTAATTTGATGTGACTGCAGCAGCTGGGGGAGCTGCGATTAACAGCGAAACTGTTAAGTTGCCCAAGAAAATGTTAACTTAATATACAATTTAGAAAAGGAGTATGTTAAGTTAACATTTCTAATTGGCTATGCTTGGATAACATTTCCAGTTCTTTTAGCACAACTCCAATTGCCTGCCGCCAATTTTAATTACTTGCTAGCACTGCTGCCAATTGCCATTCACACAAATCACACACACACACATACACGCACACGCGCTCACAAATTGGCGCGCAATCAAAAATGGCGACCTATATTTGAAATAGCTAAAAGCAAATGCCACAAAATACTCTATATCTAATGGTTTATAATATATGTATGTAGTTTATATAAGCACATGTGTATGCAGCTTGACAGGCTACGGAAACGGGAAATGAGGCTACAAAGTGCAAACACACGAACGCCCAAGCAATTATAATAAACGGCCATTGAACGTGTGAACCAGAAGAATTAACAAGAAACAAGCAACAAACAAACCAACAAACACAAAAATGCCAAATGCACAAGATATTTGAGTGTGTGTTCGTCTGTGTGTGTGTGTATTCTAAGAATGCGCACACACACAGACACATTTTGGAAATCAATTTACATTTCGATTGCATTTTTTGCAGCTAAAGTCTTTAGCCCCATTAGCTGTTAAATGGCTTTAAAGCAGGCAGAAGATAATGAAGCGATCTGATATGATAATGTTATATCATAACAATATATATATATATTATATTTCATATAAGTGAGTTGCGCTTATGTTAAAAACAGCTGCCTTTAGCTGCATATATTTTCTTAATTTATAAATAGATTTTAAGATATTTTAAATCAATTGTGAAACGAAGTTTTAAGCTCTATGTGTGTGAAGTGATATATTATGTATATATAGCATACTTTTCGGCTGTTGGCCTGCTTTTAATGTCATTGCCTGTGTTTGAAATGGGCTTATATAGAACATCTAATCAATTCGAATATACATTTACTTTATAATATGCTTAAAGACTGACATAAGCAGTTTTAAAATTATATTAAAAATTCTAATAATGAGCTAAAATTACAAGTTTATTTATGCTTTTGTATTTATTATCTATATGATTCAATTATTAAGTAAATTACAGGGTATTAGCTATTTGGGCTTAACTCTTGCCAACTGTCTAACGGCCAAGGACGGAAGAAAATGGTAAGAGCGCCTCGAGTGCGTCTATAAATGGCCAAAAAGTCTATACACCGCAAAGGGGCGCATTACAAGACAGAGGCGTAACTGATGTGGAAAAATACATACATATATATATATATATTATGACATATATAGAAAAAAATAAACAGAAAAAAAATACGTCAAAGTGGAAACTGAAAACTAGTTTTGCCAGCCGATTACATGACATAAAATCAATCATTAACATTTGTAAATTGTGTTTGCGACGTATTTGGCAAGTTGTTTGTTGCTTGTTGTTGCTCGAGACTCAATCGCTGCCCCGAAAAAGGGGTAGACGCTGGGCACAGTTAGCTGCTGACGTTGGTTTTAGTTCACGTTAAGCAGTTAAGGAAACAACAAACGTTGTTTTAAAGATATTAAATACAATTGTTATTGCAGCTGTTAATGTTGTTGCACAGAAAATCTTACTTAACATTCAAAGTACTTAATAACATTAAGAAAAGAGGACTACATTAAGCTTCAAGATTAAGCGAGAGACCGTTAAGTTGCGTAAGCAAATGTTAAGTAATTGTTAATTAGCATACTAAACATTCTTTTTAGAAATTCTAGCAACAGCTCTGTTAAGAGTTCTGCAATATGCTAAAGCTTGCGCATTCCAGAGAAACTGTTAAGTTGCATGTGTTAAGCAAGTGCTGCATGAGCTACGCAAATGTTAAATTAACATAGTATATTGTTAACAAATCAAAAGCAGAGCTTTGATTATGCATGCTGTTACGTTAACAGTGCTCACTGTAAACATCTGCCTCAACAACGGCTTAGATCAACTGTATGCAGCACACATCACTGTTAACTTAACAGTCAGTTGCCATTCACACAAATACACACAGACTCGTAGCTGACAGGCCCCTCTTTTTGCTTGGCTAAGTGATTTAATGATACGTTTACTTTGTTTTTTTTTGTCAATTGGCTGGTTAATAACTGTTATTGGCTATTGGCTCGCATTACAACATTTTTGTGTTGGACAACTTTTACGAGCCGCAGCAGCAGCAGTGGCAGCCATAAAATAATAATAATACAAATAAAAATCAGTTAATTGCTTCATTGACCATAGATAAACACACACATACGCATAGCTATGTATTTATCTATAAATAATTGTTGATTTAATGGCCAATTTAATGCGCAGACAAAATCGCCATAAAAACATTTGTTGCTGGCAATGGCTGCAAAGCAACATAAAATCAAACAGAAACCAAGTAAGTGTTGCATCAGCCACTTTTCAAAATTGATTTGATCTGGCCATGATTACAATTATATATAAATGTATATATGGTGATTAATACACTGCCAGAAAATGAGGACAAACTGTAGATAAATGTGTTTGCTTGAGACATTCACAGGCCAGAGGAGAGCAACATTTAGAGGTATAAGATTTAAGATTAAGAATTAAAGATTAAAGATAGACCAGACATATGATATGACATCTACGAAATGAGATCTAACAAATGAGAGATCAAAGAGAAGTTCTACGATATAAGATATGAGATCTAAGATAAAAAATAAAAACTAAAAGATACAATATACAAAATACAAGATATAAGGCATAAGATATAGATAAAATATAGGTACAGGATTTGATAAAAAACCTTTAAAAATTGAAATCTAAAGGGAAATCTCATTTGATTCATTTCAAGCTCTTTT